CCAACCCAAGCCCTCCAACCGTCTGCAAAATCATCGTCCAGGTGCAGGACGTGAACGACAACGCGCCTGAAATCACCATCACCCCAATGACCTCCATCACCGCAGGAATCGCACACATCACAGAGGCAGCTGCCAAGGACAGCTTTGTAGCTCTGATCAGCACCACGGACAGAGACTCGGGCGCCAATGGCCAGGTGCACTGCACACTGTATGGGCATGACCACTTCAAACTCCAGCAGGCTTACGAAGACAGCTATATGATTGTGACCACAGCCCCCCTTGACAGAGAAAAAATTGCAGAGTATAACTTAACTGTGGTGGCTGAAGACCTCGGCTCCCCGCCTTTCAGAACGATTACACAGTACACCATTAGGCTGAGCGACGAAAACGACAACGCCCCCATGTTTAGCAAACCCGTCTATGATGTTTCAATTGTGGAAAACAATGCACCGGGTGCATATATAACCACAGTGGTGGCCAGAGACTTGGACCTGGGGCAGAACAGTAAAATCAGCTATAAACTTGTAGACACTTATATTATGGGCTCACCCATATCAGCATTTGTCTCTCTGGACCCTGCCACTGGCTCCATCTATGCTCTCCGGAGTTTCAACTATGAAGTTTTAAAGCAGCTTGAGCTGCGAATTCAAGCAAGCGATGGCGGATCACCACAACTCCATGGAAGCGCAACAGTCAACCTAAGAATAGTCGATAAAAATGACAACGCTCCCATTATCACACAGCCAGCCCTCAATAACGGCTCTGCAGAAGTCCTCCTGCCCAAAGACGCCCCTTCAGGTTATGTGGTAACCCAGATAAATGCACGGGATGCCGACGAGGGTGTCAACGCAGAGCTGTCCTACAAAATCGCCACAGGTGAAGCCTCCGTCTTCTCCATCAACAGAGCCACTGGGGAGATCTACCTTAACCGTGAGCTGAACTATGAAGTTGACGAGAGCCTGAAAGTCACAGTGACCGTCAGCGACAATGGGAGACCTTCGCTGACTTCCACGGCCACCATCCGTTTCACCATCGTCGCCGGAGCGCCCCCCAATGACCGCAACATATTCAGACATGGCAGCGAAGATGATGAAGCCCACGAGTGGGACCTCTCCATCGTGATTATCGTTGTTCTGGCAGGGAGCTGCACGCTGCTGCTCTTAGCCATCATCGTAATAGCGACAAGCTGTAACAAGCGAAAGCTGGACAAGCGGCGAGATGGCTTTCATCCTGAAAAGGAGGATGGCATGAACCTGGAGGGGGGGAAGAACAATAGCGACCCTCTCATACCTGTTCACAGCGATGGCGTGTTTGACGTCCACCCATACTCCAACAAACCCAGTTTTACTGGTTCCATTCAGGCAAGCAGCGACATGTGCTGCAGTTCCGAAGATGGCACAGAGACTACCTGCGTCTATGAATCCGAAAACAAAAGCCGTGGAGCAAAACTGGAGGTAAGTCAACGCATACCAATTTATTTAAGCATGCGTTATTATAACTTCAGTTCAGGCTAACTGTGACTACTTTGGTGTAACTAATATGCTGTGTGTTTCTATTTATGTAGGGTTATTCAACTTTGCCTGGCTATGGCAAAGAGCCGGTGCGACCAATTACAATATGGAAAGGCAACTCCTACACCACCGTTTCAGCAAGAGACCCTCAGTTCAGCGGGAAAGACAGCGGAAAAGGAGACAGTGACTTCAACGACAGTGACTCAGACATCAGCGGTGATGGCCTGAAGAAAGATGGACACCAAAACAATGCTCAAAATGGTAAGACCAGAGTAGTTTGGTCAGAAAATGTTCTATGCTGTTAGATTCAGTTCAAAATCAGTGTTAGCTAAAGTGGCTAGTTCTGAATAAAAGTGATTAGCTACCATTTAGCATTGTACTTGTAACATTTTACTAACCAATGTTAGGATGCAAACACTATTAGCAACACAAGCCTAACATATTTGACTGAACTGTAGGCTCAAACTGTCTGCTGCAGATAGCCTGAGTGAAGCCTGTGGGCGTTAAATTAGCTGAAAACATGCTAACAAACTTTTTTAGTTGCCTTTCCAGTTTTGTGGGGGTGTAGGGACAAGTTTAGCTGAGATTTTTTGACCGAACCATTCCTGTAAATGACATGAACACTTCAGCTCAGCGAAGCCTGTAGGCGTTTATCGTGACTACAGTCGCTCTAACAAAAACATGCTAACATGCTCTTCTTCCTTGTGTTTTTTCCAGCTCTGTGGGCGTGTACCAGCGAGTGTAAGATCCTCGGCCACTCCGACCGTTGCTGGAGCCCAACCGCCGCCAGGGCGAGCAACAGCTCTGCAAAGACCGGCTCGCTTCCCAGAGACTCTCTCAGGAGGGAGAACTACTACCAGGCCCACATACCAAAAACGGTGGGCCTCCAGAGCGTCTACGAAAAGGTTCTGCACAGGGAATATGACTATGTGTTAGTGCCCCCACCCCAACCAGTCAGGGTACGAGAGATCAACGACGTCACCATCCCAGTGTACTCACCCACAACAACACGCTGTCCCACCAATGAAGTCTGAGAACCTAAACAGCCAGATAATAAGACTGTTAACGGCTGTCACTGACACTACACTCTCTACAGCAAGTGTTGAACATGTATAGGTATCAATAATGTTTGTGTATTTAAGAAAAAACGCATCTTTTCTGTCAGTATTGGTCTTTACGATGATTTTAAGCAATCATATGACTTTGTTGAAAATTATATGTATATTATGCAAGTTTTTTGTAAATACAGAGTCTATTTTTATAATATTATTCCTAAGTAAAACAAAAGATATTGCAGATGATATACTTTATTTTAAAAGCATGTTCCTTATTTAAATGCAGCCTAAGATTTTATGCTCCCAAACCCAGTTGATAGCCTACCTGTGTAAATTTAGGCCATCTGAATGCAAGATGTACCTTTTTGATCGATTTCTTTCACAATGTTATAAAAATAAACATTGAAAATCGATTTCTTTGCGCCTTTGTGAGACTCACTAAACTCATTTTCTCTGAGAGCGGGGTTGGGGACAGAGGATGGCGCTGTTTGCAAGTTTTGAGGGGAAGCACGTGTTGGTGCACCGTATGGGGCTGCAGTAATTAGGCTACACCAAAAACAGACCGCTTTCATTTTCACTGCGACCACGCAGACTGCTGTGTCTTAAATATAGCCTAAAATGTCAGCTCATATAGGCACCATCTGCCGTTTGGACTCTCAAAAGTGGGCTTTCGAGTTTTACACGTGTAGAGTCCATTGTTTATATATTTATTTACTCATTTTCCTCCGAACTAGCAGCCCGATAGACCCATCCGGGTGTATCATATAATTATGCGCACCTGCATTGTGCGCTGTGTCCATGCGGTGCGCCAACACCTCGCCCACACTGCCAGCCAGCAGCGGCTACGCAAGCCAGAGCTACTGAGCGCAAAGCGAACTCTCTCTCTCTCTCTCTCTCTCTCTCTTCCTCTCTCTCTCTCACGCACACGCATGCAGGGCCGTTTCTTGCTATAAGAGGTGTAAGTAGTTATTTAGGGCCCCTCAGACACGCGGAGGGGGTGTTGTGTAGTTTTTTTAGAAGTTTGTATCTTTAATTAACTTGAATAAAGTATTTATTTGTTTGTCAGACCTTCATACAGAATAACAATAAGTGAGGGAGGGCGGAGACCGCTTAGAGCCCCCAGAGTGTTTAGAAACAGCCCTCATCCCCTCACTCATCCACCCTCTCTCACTCTTTTACTCATTTCCCCTCTCACCCCCTCCTTCACTTACTCTTCTTCACTCATCCTCTCGCTCTCTAACTCTCTCTAACTCTTTCCTTCACTCATCCTCTCTCTTCCTCTCTCTAACTCTCCCCCCTCTCTGTCCTTCACTTACCCTCTCTCACTCACTATCCTTCTCTCACTCCCTCTCTTTCTAACTCTCTCTCTTTCTTTCTCTCGTTCACTCATCCTCTCTCTCTCCGTCTCTCTCTCTCTCCTTCACTCACCTTCCCTCTCTCACTCACTATCCTTCTCTCACTCCCTCTCTTTCTAACTCTCTCTTTCTTTCTCTCCTTCTCTCATCCTCTCTCATTCCCTTTCTCTCTAACTCTCTCTTTCGTACTCTCCTTCACTCATCCTCCCTCCCTCTCTCTAACTCTCTCTCTCCTTCATTCATCCTCTCTTTCTCTCTCTCGCTCTCCTTCACTCATCCTCTCTTTCTCTCTCTCTCTCATTTCCTCTCTTTCATTCACTGTCTTTCACTCATCCTGTTTCTCTCTCTCGTCCTCTCTCATCCACCATCCTTTTCTCTCTCTCTCTCCTTCACTCATCCTTCACTCTCTCCTTCTCTCATCCTCTCTCGCTTATTCACTATCTTTTTCTGTCTCTCTGCTTCACTCACCCTCTCTCTCTCCTTTTCTCATCCTTTTTTACTCATCCGCTCTCTCACACTCATTATCTCTATTTCTTGCTATCTGTTCCTCTCGCTCTTCTTTCTGTCTCTCTCTCTCTCACACACACACACATACATACACATCCTGACTCACCCACTCGCTCCCTCTCTTTTTATCTCTTTTACTCTTTGTTTATCTCTCGAGCTCACTCTTTCTGTTTCTCTCATACACACCTTCACTCAGTCACTCACTCACATCCATGCATGCTGATCTGTTCACTCCCACTCTCACCATATCACTATCTCACTCATTCTCTCTTTCTCTCTCAGCTCAACAGAGAGACTACAGTAAAAGTGAGACAGGTCACACGGGTGCGCGTGGGTTCGAAAATCACACGTATCACAAGTATAAGCGTGAAAGATAGACCGCTCAGTTCAGTGACCTTACGTGCTGGATATACGGTCCACAAGAGCAGAGCCATCAGCTGACACTCTGAATGAGCTACGGTGGTCAGTTATGCACTGCCACTCCTTCAACATGCAAAAAACGTCGTCCGAGTCCTTTTCCCCATTCACTCCATTCACCCAACGGTAATATTACACCCTCCCAGGCCCTCCCACCCGTCCTCAGACCAGCACTCAACTTTTTTTCCCTCGTCCTAAAAAAAGAGCAAGTGGCCAGCGAGACAGAAGTCCGTATCCAGCCATGGAGGCGACCTCTGAGAAAATCCCCATCGCCCTGGCCGGACCAGAGGACTTACAGCAGCTCATGCCGCCTGTAAGTAGTAACGTAAGCTTTAAACCGCTTTTCCAGTGTCTACGAATCTGATCTGGTCAGTGCGCCATGGCCGAGCTTATTGAGAGCGTATGATGTCCGTTCTGCACGGAACAGCCTTTTAATCTAAGCCCTCATATCTGATATATTTTCACTGCTGACCTCTGTGAATGTGCGCAGGCATACACTGCAGTGACCGTGAAGCCCTCCAGCTCTGCGCGCCTGCTGAAGATTGGAGTGGCCGCGTTGACCGTTGGAGCCGCGCTGCTGCTGTTCGGAGCCATCGGAGCTTTTTACTTTTGGAACGTCAACGACAAGCACGTAAGACACCTTGTCTCGCGCATTTCTACCCCACTGTGTTCCCCTTGAGCCCTCAAAGCTCATAAAGTAATGCTGCTCTCTCGGTGGGATTCATAGACGTGGACAAGTGCCTGCAGTCCACTGCTCTAGTGGTCTGCCTGAAGCCCAAGGGTCGAGAGGTGTGTAAGCAAAGAGTGCTGTAGAGTTGGGCTGTAAAATATCAGTCAGTTCTGTTTTAAAGTACGTTTAGACCTATTTGTCTAGAACCCTACTAAACTAGCCTATTAGTGGAACTTCTAAAAATAAAAAAGCACCTTTGTGGAGGTTCAGCTGTTCAGCACTGTATAAACTATCATTTGGAGCAGGTTTATTTTTAAAAGGCTATATATTTGCTCCATGCCATCTAAATGTTATGAACACGGGATGAGTGAGGGTTTCATTGGAACTGAGTTATATATTAGAGGCAACCAGGTATTTTTGATTTCTTATGATACATCACATGGATCCTGGTTCCAATGAAAGGAGCCCTTCATGTAACTCCCTCCTCCCACTGCAATTACAAACAGGCCCCCTCTCCATGGAAAAGGAAACATGGGATGGGCTTCATTCAGCAGGGCCAAAGCATCGTATTTGAAACATCTAGTTCTCTACCAAGTTTGGCTAAGAAGGTTGATCCATCCACTCATATATGCACTCTTGAAGTGACATGTCTACTCTTAAACCTTTTCCTTACTGTCGTTCTATTTCCATGTTTAAAACCCCACACAGAAATTGCTGACACAGCACCAGAGCCTCTCTAGGATTAGCGTGCAATGTGGGCCTACATAGACAGAACTGCGCAAAAGTCTTAGGCCATCTGAGGAAATGGGATGTAAAGCCATTTATCTGGGCAGTAAGCATTTATTTGTTTAAAAATATGTACAATACATTGTAAACAATATATTGTGCCAGCTTAATTTCCAAAGCTCTCCTCAAGGAAGCCCAGCATTTACTGTTACCATACAATATTGGCTACAGCTAATCAATTTTTCATTAAATTAAATTAGGCGCTGCTGATGAAGTTTAAGAAATCCATGCAGTGACTGGAGTTTGGCAAGAAGTCAGGAATCAAACCTGTGTTCTCCTAACTGCATTCTTCTAAGATTTATGTATTAAAATACATAAACGTTGCTTTACGTCCTTAAGAAAGAGCTTATTCTAGAGTTCTGTAGTTATATATAGAGCAATGACAACTTAAGTAAACATTTAAATGATTCTTTGCATTGTTTTGCAATGGAAAACCTGCGGTATATGGTTCTTAGTGGCACCAAAAAGGGTTCCACTATTGTTCATAGAAGTCATTTTTGTTACTATATAGAACTCTTTTTGCTAAGTGTGTACTAAAATTACTCACTATGTTCTTGTCAGTGTGACCTCATTCTGCATGCATCTTACAGGTGTACAATGTCCACTACACCATGAGTATCAATGGCAAGGTGGAGGAGGGCTCCATGGAGATTGACACAATGAACAACTTGGAGAGATTCACAACAGGAAGCGGAAATGACGAAGCCGTCGAGGTCCACGATTTCCAGATTGTAAGCCTTCCACTACAGTGCTAACTTTTTCCACTGCATGTAACCCTTTGAGTCAAAAGTCTGGATCCCATATTCAAGTGTGTAGAGGACATAACAGTACTGCTTAGGGACCCTGTGGAGTGGAATGCAGCTTTGGTCTTCAATAAATAGGGTTAATTAGACCCCGCCCTCATTCATCACAACACAACCGGTTGGCTGAAAAGCATTAACGAGGACAGACATTCCACCAATAAACTTAGAAACACATAAGAACTAGGTTGGTATAATAATTGTGCATCCAACTCTGTGCTTTCCAACTCTTAATTTCCCTGAAGTCCTCATTAAATCTACTATTATCTACTAAATTAGTTATGGTTTTAGATATATATTATTAACTTTTAAACTATTGAGCATAAGCCTTTAGATAAAATGTCTTCAAGAAAACTGAAAACCATACAAACTTTTGGCCTGTAGTCTCACTCTTGCCAAAATATTGCCAAACTCACATGTCATGCAGTTACTTTTTGCATTGACATGGACACAAGGGTGCAAACATTCTTTGGAGTGATGCCATTGGCAGAACCACTTTTGGTTGCTACAGAACCTTTCAATTGATGATTCTTCAAAGAAACTATTTTTTTAATGAGATGCAAATGTGAAGAACCTTTTTTTAAAAGTTTAAAGAACCTCTACAGAGGTTCTACATCAATTAAGGCTTTTCCGAGAGCCATATGTCTAAGCCAGGGTGCCCAATCCCAATCCTAGAGATCTACCACCCTGTAGAGTTCAGATCCAGCACACCTAGCTCTAATATTCAGATTCCCCTGAATCCCTACATTACCTGGATGAAGTTCTAGTGTTAGGGCAGGAAATATATTCTGCAGGAGCAGGGTTGGGCACCCCTGGCCTAAACCAAGAACTATAATCTTAAATAAACTCACTTCTTTAAATCGTGTCAGTCTGCCAATGAATCCAAAAAAGATCTCAATCTAGGAAAGGAAAAGGATATTTGGCCTGATCCAAGTCTTGAGCCCTCCTTGTCCCCATCTAACACAGGGAATTACTGGCATCCGCTTCGCTGGAGGAGAGAAGTGCTACATCAAGACCCAGGCCAAAGGTCACCTTCCTGACGTGGAGACTCTAAACAAGGAGTCACTGATGTTTGACCTGGTAAGTAGAGTTGCTACATTTCTCACAAACCTGCAGATTTTTCCCCTTTCATTCTCTTTCCTAGACATGCATAACTTGATAGGGTGGTCTCTGGTGTTCTGTCTCAACTGCAATGAGGAAATCATTTGTGAAGAATCTCCTAGCTAGTTCTGTTTTTAGAACCTCCCACCACCGGCAGCACCATCTAACTGCCAAAGCTGTGGTCAAATCTGAGTCTGTGACTGACAGCAGGAGCATGAACATGCATTGCAATTCTAGCCCTAACGCTTCATATGTAGATAACGGCCATGTGTGCCAGTCCTCTGAAATGAGAATGACTTGAGCATTTACACAGGGAAGATCAAAAAAGACCTACAGCCCCAAGATACGACTGGACCAGTAATGGGTTTGGATTTCCATGCCTCCATGTTCCATGTGGGTTTTTTTCCTGGGTGAAAGAGACATGTGAACAAATTGAAGTGATTGAGTGTGCACACGGCTATAGCTTTTGGCACAGTACGCCAGAGGATCCATAGCTAGTGATTCTGCCTGCGGCGCTTCCATCCGGTTTCAAACACGAACAAGTCCACAGCTCAGGAGACCCCTACAACAGGAGCTTACGGTTCTCTCTCTTTCTCTCTCCCTCTCTCTCTCTCTCTCTTTCTTTCTTTCTCTCCCTCTTTTTTCCACCCTTTTTCTGTGGGAGTGCTGCCAAGACCAATCTCCAAATTAGAGTGCTGATGCCCCCCTCACCTAACAGCTGCAGCATTCATTTTGCATCACACATTTAAAGACGTTTTCATAACGGCCGTGACTGTGAAGTTGTTCGCTGCCGAGCAAATTTCTTTCAAGCGCGGATCCATTTTTAAACGATTTAATGCAAATGGCCACTTGAATATTCATGCCATGTGTGTGTGTTTTGACGACGTGCTGGGCCGTGCAGATAAGGGTGGTCCTGTCAACAGCAATGCCTCACAGCGTTTTAGAGCTTTATGTGTGTGGTGGTGGGGAAAGTATGAAATGGATGAGAAACGCTCATTGTGAGCCACTAACACTGCCTTTGCATTGCTGCTTGGAACATCCATTTTGGACCTTCAAGACTGCTGGAAAAGAACATTATGCATAGCACTGAGGCGATGGTCAAATCTAAACCCCTTTGAACAAATCAGTGCTTCCTTAAAGGAATAGCTCATTCAATGTGGCTAATAAGGAATGCAGGCTAGGAGCCACCAATTAGCATGATGTCACATGCTATTTGGTGGCTAGCTGTTTGTATCCATTGTTAGCAACGTTAGCATTCTGGGTGAAACTATCCCTTTAAAGGCTTGGGGTGTAAATACAGAGACAGGCTAACCATTCCTTAAATGTTGACTTAAATGTTAAGCATTGCGTCTGTAAGTCTCATCACTTTGACAGAATTCATGATTTTACTTTTCCATGTTTTCGTTCATCACTACAATACGCAAATATATCATAAAACCATTGGAAATCCCTGAGGTGCCAACTAATGGCTAATTAACCCAGTCGCACTAGCATTATTGTATCTCTTACCTCAGTCAATGAAGAAAATCTTAAAGAAAGCAGCAATTCTATCTTTATTCAACACAAAATGGACACCAGAGACAACTTTTTTACCCTTTTAGCCAGAGAAAAGAACCCAATCTGAGGTAACATATCTAGATACCTATCTTGCTACTCAGCTACCTTGCTAACTTCATATTTTAGCTTGTTTTTAGCCTTCCTCTTTTGATGAGCTATTTCTGTTGTTTAATCCATTCACTTCATTGTTAAAATGATTGCTAGTTAAAATGACAGCTGCTACAGTTATTCAAGTGCAATACAATATTGGGCTTTCTAGCAGTAACATTACGTATTTGCTATGAAAACATTGCAAAACAGCCCAGCTCCAAAAATCCACCCCAAAGCAGTTGTAGTCTTTCAAAAGTTACTCCCACCCTCAAGATTTTCTAGTTTTTAAACCAGAATTTCTTACTCTAGAGACTATTGCAGCACTGTTGTAGGATGCAAGTAGGCGTGTTTACGACTAATGTAGTGATGGTTGCATTCTTCACATTGGCTGCAGTGTTCCTCTAATGGAGTCGTCTCAATGAATCAAGCCTCTTACATCAGTCATCTTGTTTTCATTGGAGGGTAGATGGGGAGACACCTTGGCTAAAACAGACAAACGTGTAATTAATCAAATGTATATTTGGATTCCCTCAGGAGGATGAGATCATGCCTGCCAAGTTCGAGGAGGAGTCTCTTATCTGGGTCGCGGCTGATCAGCCTCTCAAGGACAGCAGTTTCCTCAGCACTAAAATCCTGGACCTCTGTGGAGACCTGCCCATCTTCTGGCTGCGTCCCACATACCCCAATGGTAGAACAGCTATTCGCTGATATCCCTGCTCTTTCCCTTTGTCTACATACTTAATTTTCCTTTTTAGGGGATGAAACACCTTGGCTTGCAGCCATGCAGTGTGTATCTGTAATCCAGAAAAGCGAGGACATCTTATCACAGGACATTCTAATTGTACCCTTCAGTGCCCCCCCGTCACCTGACCACATTACGGTGGGCCCATAAATATTTAACGGGCAGTCTAGTCACTAGCTCATAACACAAATTACAAGACAACAGTGTTAAATTTCATCAGTCTGCATCGTGCACCATAATTGAGCTGAGGCTATTAGGCATGCAAGGTTAATTGCTTGAAAACAGCCCAGCTGAAACAACTGTGCATGTGTTAGACTCTCTCCAAAAAGCGCACTCGCTCAAAGGCCGTGCCGTACTGCGTGCCTGGAGAAAATGAATGGCTTGTATTAGAATACCTGTCTCTAAACAGAAAGAAAGGGCAATATCGTTGAAGTATCCCAGCCTGTTGTAAAGGGCATCAATATATATTCATGATGAGCCCATTTAGTCTTGCCAAGGTTATAACAGGGGGTACAGATACCACGCAGGACCAATTTGGGTTTATATTAAGAACTCTTGCTAAGGGTATTCATTCCTCAGATTGGTTTAAAATGAAAGAGATTACAGAATGCTCTTAACAGGCATTGACAACATTAGCATGGAGAAAAACCCTCACAACCCAGTAGCTAAGATCAATATAGATCTTAACTAAGATAAATATAGACAAATATGGACAAAGGCATTATCAGCACTACATATCTTCACTGCCAAAACAAAACCCCATCTTTAAAATGGCAGCTTTAGAGGGGAAGTACTTTCAATGTAAGTTAATGTAGCATAACTTTTTTTCCCAAGTAATTTTGGACCATTTCTATTGTTCCCATAATCATGAAATGTAAAAGGCAACTGGTATTTTCAAAATATATAAAAATCCAACAAAAAGTAGAGATACAAAGTGTTGTTTTGTCAGTGATGATATAAAAACTTGGTTCACTTGCCATTTTGAATAGTAAATGGCTATATTTGCACTGTAGATGTTGCGACCCCTGATTACTATCACGATCACTGTAAAAACAAATACATGAGTAAATAAATAAATAAGTAAATATATAAATATATAAATGACTCTTTAAGATTCTCTACAATGAACCATTTCACACCAAACCCCTCCGAATGACTCTGAAGGTATAAGGTAGGGCTGAACAAAATGCTAGTATTACGATTATTTTGCAATTGTGAGATGCCTTTATGCACTATTTTGACCATTCATTTTATTTTGAATTACATGAGTAACATGAAAACATGAATGGCACATAACATTGTGATTAGCCTTACTTGCATATTACAGACCTTGGTAATATCAGTTCAATACTGTGATGCAGTGTCAATATTGCGATGAACAGACAATATATCGTGCAGCCCTAGCACGAATATTATAGAGTGCTCTTAGCAGAGAGGCCTAGACTTTAACATTAGCATAAAGAAGCTTCATGTGTTGGATTAGCTCGCCTTTGTCAATAACGATATTCTTCAGGATGCAGAATCCCAGTAGTAGCCCTTGATCAGCACACTTAGCCTGACACATTTGACACATACGACTGCTATTCTGCTTGAATCCTGTCAACTGTTCTCCCCAGGTGGGCAGAAGAAGAGATCCGTGCCGAGGGCCAGACGACAGGCTGAAGAAGATGAGGAAGAGGAGCCGCCGTTCAACCCGGAGAACCCTTACCATGTGAGTGCCATTCAAATACCTGCTTTTGAGCTGTTGCCCAAGGCTATGCCGGGCTTATCCGCACCGTGGTAGAACCGCTTTGTACAGACAGAGAGAGATGGAGGGAGGAGGAGGAGGAGGAGGAGGGAGAGGGAGGGGATGGGCAACCGAGAGCGAGAGAGATGTAAAAATGAATTAACTTACATAAGTCACATGGGATTTAAATAAGCAGCACTGCATGATTGACAGTTGTAACGTGGCAGTGGCTGTACTGCCTGTAGCCATACTTAACATGGCAGTAATACAGTGCAATTTCAATAAAACTTGCATATCCATTTGGAATAACTGTCCATTCCAATCATAATCACCCTGACCCTCAAGGCTTGATTGCAGAGCGGCAACATATCAGGACTGTCAATTCAAAGCTAAACATCTGTGGCAAGCTCTCCAGTCGATATTTGTCTACATCAAGTGGGCACCAGCAAACACACTATTTTTACTACTATTTTTAGCAAGTAGTCCATGTTCTCTCACTCTGTGCTCTTTAAAAGGACTGTTTGGCAAAAATTGCATACATATTTATGCAATTTTCCCCTTAGTGCAAATGTGGTCAATCAGCCTGGACCCATTTGGTGTCTGCTTCTTTAGTTTTGCACTCAAACTATTAGCATCGTGCCTAAATCATGATGGACTTGTCTCAAACATATTTAATATCTCAAATAGACATGCTAATGTTTTCTGACACTGTATGACATACTGTTATCTGAAAAAGTAGACAAAACTAGAGACAAAATTCAGGCTTAATGATGGTTGCTACTACTGTTACTGCTATTACTGTAAACCCTCTGGCATCAATGAACACGCCTGCTTGTCAAATTCAATATCTCTATATATGTTTCTCTATCTTTGCAATAGTACAACACAGAAATACGGTTCAAACATGTCCTGAATCTGTAGAGTTACTCTTTCTATTCCATCAGATTGTGAGATCATATGTAATTTGCATGAGGTATGAGGCTATGAAGAGGGGTAGAGCTACACAATATTTGCCAGTGGACATTCAGAAAATCACTAAGGACTGACCCATCATGCCAGAAGCCCTTCATTCTTCATTCAGTCGACATTGGAGACACATGAAATGGCGTGCAACAGGTTTACAGCTGCTAAAATTGCTGCAGCAGTTTTGGAAAGTAGCAATTAAGATAGCGGAACATTTTGATATGAAACATTTAGGGGTTGTGTTGTATGCAAGCTTGATTTAGTGAATTTAAGAAGATAGGCGAAAATTGAAAAAACGCCCTTAGAACCCAGAGGGTTAAAGAAGCAAACTTCATACACCAAACATGTCTTGGCCGATCAATTACATTTGGGATAAGGGAAAATATGCAAATTTGACTTTTGGGCAGATTATCACATAAAAGCAAACTATAGCTTCAGGTTTTCTTTCAGCAGAATCAGTATAACCAAAAGCAGAGCTACATAACTGGTACAAATAATGATGCCTTGTCTTCCATACTGATTCCTGAGAAATACTGTTTTCACTACATTCCTTTAGATTACAAACTAAAAGTTGATGTGGCTTAAATCAGAAATGAGTGTGAGGGGCTAGAAGTGGATATATTTACAGTAAGACAAGTATTCACAAGAACGCGATACCTACAGTGAAGTATGAAGGTGGTAGTTTCATCATATGGGGCTGGTTCTCTGCAAATGCCACTGGGGCATTACATGTTATTGATGGAAACATGAGCGGAGCAATTTGATCTTATCAACCAAGAAGCTGAATCTGGGAAGGGGATGAACATTTCAACAAGACGACAACCCTAAACATACTGCCAATAACTTAAGAATCCCACTGAAAATTTATGGAGGATTTTGAAATTGTGAGTCCATCACAGGGACCCTCATAACCTTCTAAGACGGTTTGCTAAGAGGAAGTATCTGATACTTAGAAGTATCTGAATTCTTGTACTGACCACTTCAGTTTTGAACAAATATGTTTAAAACATTAAGCAACTGCCTTTAACTAAATAGTGTTCACTATTAGTATACCCTTGATCATGCATGTAACTTTATGTAACCGGACACCCCTATTGTCAAATAATACCAGACAACATGCGCAGCTGTGTGAGCAGCGACAGATGTTGGGGTCACTGCAAGAGGCCATGCTTGTCGCCCTTCGTCTATTCTCACAGGCTTCCTTTCAACCGAGACAGCATCCTTCTATTGACCCTGTCCCCTATTGTGTTAGCAGAGAGACTGCTCTGACTCCCCCTCCTGCCAAAAATCCCCCCCCAATCCAGTCTTCCAGTCTAATCCCTACTCCCCTCTGTTCCCTCAAACTGAAAAACCAAAAGAGAAAGGAAACTGGGGCACATACATATTTACTTCAATACAACTCAAACACATCACGCACCACCTGAAACGTCTCAGAAGTGCAGAGATTTGTTACCGATTTAAGTTTCAGCAGAAAAAATTTAGCTGTAGAGCCCAAACTGCACACCTGAAGACACCATGGAATAGTTCAGCAAAAAAACAAACATACACAACTTTCCCCTTACTTTTTTATTATATAGTTGATCAGTCAAGACATGTTTGGTGTCCAAGGTTTTGCACTGGAGCTACTAATGTAGCTAACAGGCATTAGTAGTGTATAGACTACAAATTAGCCTTCTAAATATAATTCAGTAAAAGTATGGCATAGTTAAAACAGTAGTATCAATCATCTTGAAGCGTCTGATTCATCCGTATTTTTGCCCATTTTCATAGACAAAAGAATGTCATACAGTGTCAGAAAGCACACAAGTAAGTCTATTTGGGAGTCTTTAACAGCTCCACACAGTTTGAGCTAGGTGTAATGATTTAGACATGCAGGTTTGACTAATTGGTGGTGAATAGGCTTCCATTACTTGTTCCTGCTCCAGTTCAAAAATAAAGGAGCAAACTTCATACAGTGAACGAAATGAGCTTGTTTTTATGATAAAAGACATCAAATTAAGCTTTCTGAACATGGACTCTGTCATGGAGTAGATCCCCTCTTGTCACTGGGTTGGTACCCTCAAGGGTAAGTCTTTAGTATCTTTAGTTAGCGAACATATTTGTACCATATTCCATTGCAATTAATTTTTTTAAGTTGCAGTGACTCTACACACCCTGTCTTGACACTTGGCTTTTTATTTAATTTTTCTGTGTTACAAAAGTAGGTTATGAAAAAATTCATATCCATACTTTTCCTCTGGAAAAACCTCAAGGTACACAGTTGGACTTTTTTTTTTTGTTTTTCCCAATTTTCTCCTATCTGATTCCACCCACTAGTTAGGACTCCCCCGGTCACATGATACTACCAGCGCTAGGAGGCGAAAGCTGCATCTGAGACCTGCATCTTTTCAAACTGCCACTAACATGTCATTGGACAGCTGAACATGCTCGGAGGAGAACACTAACCGCCAGTTCTGTTACATCAGCTAACAAACGCCTGCGCTGACTAGCATCGTGCTGAGTGATGGTGAGAAAAAAGGGGGCCATCCTACCCACCCAGAGAGCGGATGGCTGTAGCATCACCAGGAACTGAACTTGCGATCTACTGATGATAGGGCCAACACAGTTGTGCCACTCAGGTCCCCCACATTTGGACCTTAAAACCATTGTTGTACCCAAAGGATACTTTTACAATGTTTACCTACACAGTACCTTAAAGGCTCCCAAGTGGTGCAGCTGTTTAAGGTTTTGCTGCATTGTCTTAAGTTCGAACCCCGATAATGCTGGGAGTCCAAGAAAGCATTAACTGGCCCTGATTAACTGCACAGTACACTGTCAAAAAAGGTGTCTGATCACCATAGTACAAACAATGAAAATGTTCCCTTAAAGATACAGCAATGGTCTTAAGGTCTGATTGAGTACCTTAAATAAGTTTAAGGTACATTACATTCACTTTCTCAGAGAAAAGGTGCATGTCTTCAGAACTAAAGGTTTTAAAATAGAAGAATTAAATAAAAAGACTGGAGTCAAGACAGAGTGTATGGAATCAGTGCAACTTCAAAAATATAACTATAACAGAATATGGAACAATTATGTTCCTTAACTAAAGGTACTGAAGACGTACTCCTGAGGGTACCACCCCAGCGGCAGACAATCATACAAGGTCCCACTCAGTCACAGTGTATGTGAAATGTTGAATAAAAAGAAAACAAACACAGCACTCATATTTTTGATAGCATTTTTAAAAAGTGGCAACACTCTTTTGCAACTTCAAAAATATGAAAACTCAATGCAAAATATATCTGCTACAGGACATGATACAATGTTCTCAACTAAAAGTACTGAAGACGTACCCTTGAGGTAGTTTTGGAGAGTGCGCCAGTTAAAAGTTTATACACACCTAACTGAATATGCATTTTTCATCATGGTAAGTTTGGATCCTGACAATGCAAGACAGCATGATTTATTAAAATAAAGGTTTCAAAGAGGCTCCCAAGTGGTTGTTTAAGGGTTTTCCGCCCTGTCAGTTTGAATCGTGACAATTCCGGGAGTAAAAGAACGCATAATTGGCCCTGATTAACTGCATATATTGCTACACAGTATGCGAAATGTTGAATAATGATTTAAAAAAAAACTCACTGCTCAAAAACTTTGTTGAACAAATGGTTTTTGAAAGCATTTTTCAGAAGTGGCACTAACGTTTTGCTGGTTCCAACTTATGAAGCTCAATTTTAAATTAAATTAAATATCGCAGTACATACCATGTATTGTGAAAATGTCTACATGTATCAAGGTAATGTATTTTCACCATATCACCCACCCCTACTTTCAACCTGTCTTGGCTCACTGTCTACATTTGTAGAGACAACTGTGTAAATTAGTCTTTTTGCACCAGTTCCTTCCTTTATCCCCTTACAAAGCCAGGGCCAACCAGTGGGCCCAAAGTTTTATTACACACTTCTATAACCTAAAAATAGCTCAACTAGTTTGCAGTGAAGTCTCTGTAGTTACTGAATAATAAGCCTTAGTATGTAATAAGTCTGGGATTCTAAGGGGTCAACATGAGATCAGGTGTAAAATGTCTGTTTTTGTATGGGACTGTTAATATGCTCAATGTTTTTCTCCCCTGCATCTGTTTCAGCGTATTGAGGGCGAAGAGGGCTCCATGACCTTCGACCCCATGCTGGACCACACTGGCGTGTGCTGTACGGAATGCCGTCGGAGCTACACTCAGTGCCATCGCATATGCGAGCCCCTGGGCGGCTACCAACCATGGCCGTACAACTACCATGGCTGTAGAGTGGTCTGCCGAGTGATCATGCCATGCCGCTGGTGGGTGGCTCGTATCATGGGCCTCGTCTAAGATCTTCGCAGTGAAGTTACTTGCAAAGAACGGCAGTTTCCAACAGCACCGGAAACTGAGCAAGTCTACATGTTAGGACAGCTCTCCATACCACTGCTGAGCTGTATTTATTATGCCTTGTATTGAATTATGTCAACGCCATTGAGGGACAGCGCAAAAAAGACAGTCCATGTGCGGTACACTGTAAGAAAGTACATGCCAGTTTATATTCTCAAAGTTCAGCATCAAAAATATGAATATTGTATATTAAAGACAGCTATGTTTTCCATTGACTGAATAGAAAAGCAAATGTAAAAAAATGTGGAGAAAAGGAAATGATTCTTTTTGCCCTTTCTTTCGATGTAAATACGTGTAATAATTTGCATGCCTTCAGAGGGCAGAGCACAAAGCAGCACAAAGCATAAATGCCCACATGAGATATTGAACATCAGCTTTGTAGCTTTGAAACCAGCCCATTTTCTCTGGATATTGCTTTTCATGTGATATAAAAAAAAAGGATAATTGACATTGGTTTTTGGACTTGTATTGGTGCTTTTAAAGTGCATCGCATAAAGCCAAAGTGTAATAAAGGTCTTTTTCTATAGCAGAGGCATCATACGTTATATATATTTTTGTTGTTTTCATTGTTGCTTTCATTGGTGAACACCAAACACTGTTTTAAAAAGAAGGAATATCACTAGGGGTTAATAAACAAGACTGAATCTTTTTATATATATATATATATATATACTGCTTTCATGGTCTGAGATCTTAGCTATAATGCAAATGCCTGAGCTCCTTTTGATGTCTGGCAGAGGAGCTTTAAGCGAGGGAGAAAATGACTGTTAGAGTTTAAACTGGAGCCGTAAAACTCGCCTGTTTGATCAGCTTCAGAGATGAAACGTGTGCCATGAATTTATCATTTAACCCATTATCAAAGAAAGATCTTCTCTTCCTCCCCCTCCTCATCTGTTTTTCTTCAAACAGTCATTTGAACTGTTTACAGTACATAACTACGGTGTACCTCACCCCCCAGTCTAAACAGTTTGATATCAAGGTTAAACATTTTTGTTCTCGGGGGTGTTACTTGGTGGGGCAATCAAATATCAGGAAATTCCTGATACCAACTGATGCTAACTGCTAACCCACTACACTCTTATTCTACGCTTTCATGTTTGGCCCACTCATAATGTTTGTGTGGGCTTATGGACCCAGTACAGTCATAATTCATTTTACATGACAGTTTTCCATTCTCTATTTATATCTTAGACATAAACAGGCTGTCTCATTAAGACTGGTATATGTAAATCACCTCTGTATTGTGCCTCATTTACAAAGCATATGTAACTTCAGTGTGAACAGTAGGGCTAAGCTGTTGTAGGCCGAATAGGCAGATATATGTAAATGGCTGGCATTACAAGGTCAATGACAGCGTAGTTTCCATACAGTTGTTTTCAAAAGTTTTTAAATTGCATATATTTTTTTTTTTTGAGTAGTAAACACAGCCTCTGCAGCAAATGATTTTAAACAATAACATTTTATATAAATGTTAATGCACAGTTACTTTATGTTTGATTAAATTAAAATATAGTCATTGTGGCATGTGCAAAAACTTGGACACAATCCTGAGTCTTTAGGAGTCCTAATGGCGGGTAATGATGGACCTGACTAACAAGGACCCTCCTTGAATAGGGGGGGTTTAAGTTAATGCTATATAACTGTTTAAGTTAATGCTATATTTTCACAACAGCTGCTTTGTGGGCGCGCTGCTAAAACACACACGGGTTGAGATTCAAAGAGTGCAGAGATATAGAGGCCAGTGGCCTGTTGCACCAGGCTAAATTCAAACACAGGCTAGTTGTACCATAAGTTCATGTTTATGCATTACTAAATCAGATCAAGTTGCACTACACAAACTAGTTTTAATGTTGAGCTTAGTAGCTACCAAATATTTACACCTCCCCCTCAGCAGGTGGAAGTTTTGGGGAAACGATCAGAAACCACATACAAAGCACAAAAAGAACCAAAACAGAACTTCTTGGTTAACTAAGCACTGAGCATGAAGCTAAACACCCACAGCTTCAGCTCAGTGAGACTCAGCAGCTGCACAAACGGCTAAACTGAGGCTGCTGTTGTGTCAGTTAGCCAGAAACCGTCGTTTAAAGGGCTCCGTATTTTGGTTTTCTCAGGAAAATATTACCGATTAGACAGAAAATGGCTCTAGATAATTAGTTTTATTCAGTTTTAAGTCCACTAAGGACTTAAGGCTTTAAGGCCAGACTTAAACTTACGCAAAACCACTTCTGAACCCCAAAGCAGCCTAATACCGCTTTAAAACTGAATCTAACGTAATAAAAACGTTTTATCGTTATATCTCCCGCTCAGTGCGCGTGACTGTGGACGGTTACCGCGCCACATATCAACAATCTGATTGGTCGCCGCTCAGCTAATTTGCATAAGGTTCGTCCAGAATGAGAGAGGCCTGATGCGTCAGTTATGTGTACATACTGTCGTCTCTCGCCTCGTTTTAGTGCATTACTACACGTTCGGTTTGATGTAAGCTAACAAAAAAAAAATCAAATGGAAAAAAGGCAATACTTTACATGACGTCATCGTTGACGTCACGTATATACTCTCTTCCCGCGTATAAACACCTTCAGGGGTCCCTGAGGTAAAAGAGCGGAGAGAGACAGAGAGATGGCAGAAAGAAGACAGACAAATTCCGACCCGTTTTTTTTTCAGGAAACAGGTGAGCCTAAAGTCACAAACTGTAAATATGTCGTAGTAACGCGAGCTAAAGTTAGCTAGGCTAGCTAGCTAGCGATTAGCTACACTTGTAACGAACACGAGCTGATAAACAAGCACAGGATTCGCTTCAAGTACGATTTTTAAACAACTAATGTATCAGATAGTGAAGTTCAGCCTCAGCCCAGCAGCTAACCTGTAAAACACACACAGTTCCAGAAGCACAAGTCCCAGAGGGAGAGAGAGAGAGCAGCACCTCTTCAGTTACTGATGGAGCTGAAGACATGAGACAAGCTGAGCTCACCAAAGTAGGTAGGCAGCTAGCAGGTAACTTCCAAACAACCCCTTTGTTGAGCAGTTATAGTAAGACTAATGATAGAAAGCACACTTACCTTGTTGATTGTCAGTCGTTTAACCCTTAAGTGCACACCAACCTACCACATAAAGAGATACAGCACGTTAAATATGTATGTATATATATATATATATATATATATATATAATATATATATATATATAGGTTATATATTTTACATGCTGTATCTCTTTATGTGGTAGGTTGGTGTGCATTTAAGGGTTAAATGGCAATCAACAAGGTAAGTGTGCTTATAGAACCATTGTCTTTGCTCAAGAACCCTTGACCTTTTGAAAGAGTGATAGGGACACATGGTTGCTGTGCTTAAATCTTCAAGTAGCTAGGAGAGAGTGACCTGCCACTAGAACAGTGTACAAAAAACTCTAAATACAATCGACTTTGCTGCCACGCCAAATCTAATTAGCTTATAAGGTTTCACCTCATCCCTGTAAAATTCCTCTTCGCTCAATCAGTAACTTCAGCATTCAGCAGGCAAGTAACTGTGCTCATGATGTAGTATAAGCTGGATCAGCTATCAAGTTGAAGTGCTGTCTAGTAGTGATGGAAGTTGATTCCAAAATAATTGGTTCTTCAACACCAACTCGCCTAGGACTCGTGATCGACTCTTGGCGAGTCCAAATGCTTGGAGTCGACTCTCTGTCGACACTACGTTGTGTTTCATCTTAATTGGTTCGAGGGACAGTTTGACGGAGGCGTGTGTAATGCAGTAAAGAATTGAGTTTGAATAGTTACTTTGTTTAATTATCAGCTTTAAACTGTTCCAGCACTGCTCATCGGCTGCTGTGAGCACAAACTCTGCTCACAGAAACGTTTTTGATTTGCCTGCGTCTACGTGGCACCACTCTGCACCCTAACGCTATATTTTCTTCATGGTTAGGGTTGCAATAAGCAACGATTAGAAGCTGTACTTGATTCCTTTTCAAACAGTTGAAAAAGACTTTGGAAATGTTTCTTTTCAAAGAATTATGATTTTCTCAGTACATCACCTCAAATTTACTCTTGCCCCTCATTATGTAAAGCTATCTGATGATCAAACGTATTGAAACATTAGTCAGCTGTAATCATTTGTCAAGCTTCCTGATACTGCTTGGTATATCACTATGATCTGTATTCCAAAAACTGGGTAAACTATGTTTAGGATGGTTTAGTCTCTACTGTATTCCTTTATCACAGGTTCTGGTGCTGTCTTGGCTTTAAATTAAGTGGATTTGAAGAGTCGACTCCATCGATTCCAGTGGCTTGAGTCAACTCCAGAAAACCCAAAGTCGTGCATCACTACTGTCTAGTGCCCAGTGCCGGAGTGGGTAATTGCAAGAGTTGGGAGAATTCTTGGTGGGCTGCAAGTGTTTTGGGCCGCTTACTCCGAGGTACTGAAAAAATTCATGCATATAAACACAAGAAAGCTCAGACAAACTCTAAATTTTACAAGTGTATTTCTGTAGTAAAAATAGTAAAATTGAGGGGTTAAACCAGTGGCCCCCACATGATGTAGTACAGCCCTGGTTTGCTGATTGTAACTTGTACAGCTGATAGAGATTAGATAAAGCTAAAGATAGCTTCTTCAGCTTGTGTGTAACTACTGCACTATTTAAGATGGAATGGAAATTCCAAAAAGAAGCTAACATTAGCCTCGAGAGATTATCAAATTAAGCATGACAATGTGGTGCTGGCTAACACAGCAGACAGTGCTTCAAGGAGTTTATCACTGTTTTCATAAAATGGACAGCAGCAGCAAGAACTGCAGAAAACCGTGATGAAAAAGCTAGTTACGGAGGATGAGGACATATCTGAGTAGGTGGGCACCAAGAAACGTTGACAGGGCGTCAACGTGCTTAGCTAACGTTAGGGTCGTTTGTAGCGTATTGTCTGTCATGGTTGTCACATTTAAGACAAAAACGTCTGTCGGTTTTCATTTTATCATTATCTAGCCACCTTGTTTATCTTAGTAGCATAATAAATAATGAATAAGAGACTTTACAGTTGGAGTTTAAGGTGGGCTGGTCTGCATTATAAAACTCCCGGTCTGAAACCAAGTCCCACTCCGGCCACCAGACCAAGTGCACCAAAACAATGGTCTCTGCGCTGAGCAAACTATGAATGAATCAAATCCCATATGTGTAAAAATATGTGTTTGATTGGATAAAAAGAAGCGGTGTAAATGTCATAAGAAATACTAACATATGAAAATGCTTGGATTCCTAAATTAACTAAATTATTTGAAAACAATTATTTGTCACCTGGACAGGCAACCAAAAACCTGTACCATCCAGGGAAATCCAAACCTAATAAATATTCAGCAGTACAGCTCTGGCTAGCCTTCTAACCTAACTGAAAACAAATTTTAAAGAAGAATTTCAAATAAGAATTAAATGTCCAACCAAATTTTAATGAAATTGATTGTGTTTATAAGGTTAGAGTTGAAAGAAGAATAAAAACCAGTGTTTCTTCGTTTTATTACATTATGCCTTTGAAAGCTCAGCATTTCTTTGGCAAATTTGTTGCCTTTTTCACTATTTCACTTAATATTTGGTGGGTCACAGAGCATACATCACCTCTACATTGGGGGAATTGGCATGAAACGGTTTGGGACCCCTTGATTTAGTAGAACACACAGCACTGTAGCTATGTGTTTGAGAGCTGGTGTTTCAGGAGGCTTATCAGACCCATCGCAGTTAATGTTGAAGCTTAGTTGGTTGATGACAGGCTCCCTGTGGGTGCTTTGATTTCCTCCCACAGTCCAAAGACATTAGAGATGCTAAATTGCCTATAGGTGTGAACATGTATGTGTATACATAGTCCTCAAGGTCTGGCTGTGTACCTTAAATGAGTTTAAAGTTGCACTACATTCACTTTCACAGGGGATATGTGCATTTTTGTATATTGTCATAACGTCACTTTTTAAATTAGGTAAATAACATATGCAATTAAAAAATGTAATTGCTATGACATACAGTACAACTGCGTTTTCTAACTACAGATACTGAAAATGTACCCTTAGGATTACCACTCCAATCATGGCACTTGCACCCTAAGTAGTTTTTTCCTGGGAGTACAATTCAAAAGTTTGGATTCCTAAATGGATATCTGTATGTATTTTGTATAAATATGGATTTTTCATAGACACATTTTGATCTGAATGCTCATGCTGAAATGGAAATTAAATTTGTTTTTGCAACAAATACAAATAGTGAAGTTGATTGTGGTATACAAAAATATAAGCCCACAACATGGTTTTCAGCAACATCTTGGCATACATTCATCTTCTTCAGTCTTGTCATCTCAGATGCCTCATCATGAAGCTGCTGAGAAAGCCAGCAGTATGTAAAGCTGCATCAAGACTAAAGTGACTAGATTATTTTAAAGTTAAAATGGACATTTTGTCTCTGCATTATTTTATCTGTTACTTTATAGTTTGGATGTATTAACTATTATTCAGAAAATATGAAAAATGGTAAAAATAAAGATGACTGAGTCTGTTTCCAAACCTTTGACGGATCATGAATGTACTCAGCGTAAGCTTTGCATTACATATTCCAAGTGTTTTCAAGAGGATGCCTGAAATCTTGTGCCGGAATAGGGCTGAGGCTTAAACCGTCATGAATATGGAAAGAAATGGAGAACTGCTGTTTCGAGACCAAGAAAAATTTATTTACAGTGCGTCCATAATCATGTTCAGGAAAGCATGACCCCTCAAATACATCATAAAAATGGCTAAAATGTATCTTGAGGCACAGGTGCTTGAGAAGTGAAAACATAGCATGTTGTATCTCTCCACCACCGAACAGAAGACTGAATAATGACCAAAATAAAAACTGTTCAATAAGGATTTTTTTTTTTTTTAAATGTACGAGATGTTCAAAAAGAATTCAACCAGTCTCCACATTGCAGACATGGAGATCTACTTTCCTGCAGAGTTTTGTTCCAACCTGCATCTAACAAGCCATCTTAACTGATACAAATGTATCTGATCCAGGTAACTTAACAGGAAGTTCTTTATCTGGAGAAGGTTGTGGTTGCAATTAGACTCTGCAGGAAGATGGATCTCCAAGACCAGGGTCATGACCACTGCTGTAGACTGTTGAAACATGGCAACAAAAAGCATTCATGAGAGCAGGAGTGGTGCTTCTGAAACATTTAGGGGCAGGTTCTCAGACATAGATAAAGAGTAGCTTTCAGAGCCAATTGTAATGTTCCATTTCATAATTCACTCTCATTGAGAGACAAGGCCTAATTAGTAACAAACAACTGCCCATGGAAACTATAACTGTTTCATTAATCCAAGTGTATACTTGTGTCTGAGAGACTGGCCAAACGTGAACAAGAAAGGACAGAGTGAAGGGAAAGACAGGGCCATGTTGTAGCAGTCGATGGTGTTGTTTAGCTTTCCATTAATATTGCTTCCATTCCATATCGTCGGGGGGATTCACGTCTACTTTCCGTCTGCCAACATCTGACCAGTTAGTACTGAGAACAGTGCCTCCAGATTCCATCTGTGTAGATTGAAGAGTGACAAAGATTCAGCAAACTACAGACCCTGTTTTAAAGCATGTCATTTTCTTGAGGATGCAACAGAAGGATTTAAAGTGAAAACTGAAACTCATTGTGCTATAATTGTCATAAGAAATAAGTAATTCCAGTTCCACAGCGTACTCTTTGGAACGAAAGCACATGGTTTTTTCATAAATAAAGCACGAGAGAGTGATAGAATTGGACCAGCACATAAATTAATTTTCATTTTCCCAGAGGGAGTTGAGCAAAGCTTCCACTGTGATCGCAAATACGCTCGTCATATTCTACTTAATGTTCATTAAATCGTAATAATTTGGTCTGGAGGGTAATGTCCCAGCCTGTCGTTCCAGATCTCACACATGAGTTCCATTAAAAATGTAGTCAGAAGATACAACGAAAATTGGCAGAAAATGTTCACATATACCGAGAGGAAAAGCTCAAAAAGTCATTTAAAAAGAATATACTTAGAGGGGAATTCCACAGATTTTTCTAAATTTCTGCATAATTAAATCCTTAGCTAACAGAGTCAATTATAGCATTTTGATTTAAAATCCTCCGTTCTAGAGAAACTCAGTCAGAACTGTTCACAGTGGTGGTGACAGGAACCAGACATCTGAATTTTTTTTTTTTCCCCATGTTGTTAAACTGTAACACTCAAACGTACACACTCCTACCAGATGTGAGTTTCATCATACAGATAGGCCAAAAATGAAAGTGCTGAATAACAAAACTCAGTGAAATTTGTGTGCTCATTTTATGACCAAATTTGATTGCATGCAACTTGATGAATAAAGGCCAGTGTCCACCTGTCATGCACTTTAATGCATGCAGCACACTAGCACTGCCACGACAGTAAGGTGGAAGGCTGCACTGATCTATGCACAGTTTCATGCCAAATTCACAATTAATAAATCACTACTTAAATGTACGTTTTCACACTGGATCATTTTCAGATCCGTGCATACGAATGTTTTATGAATAAGGTCCCTGGTTCCCATTACCACTGTAAAGAAGCTGGAGTCAGTAAGTTTCTATGCACCAAATTCACATTAAACCACTCTGTATGACTTTGTTTACATCCCAGCCCCTGAATTATGAAGTAATTTCTAAAAAAGCCAATCAAATTCCCCTTCAGTATCATTGCCCACCTATTTTAACATATAGCAACTCTTATTATCTGTTATTGTTGGAACATACTTGGCAAACTAGTTCCTAAAGAGTGCTTTTGTTACTACAGCATGAGAGACACTCATGTAATTAAGGGGTACTTTTATTCCAACTAAGCACTTACGAAAGACTTGTTCATGGCCCGCTTGACCTCATCCGAGCCGTCTGAGTAGATCTGCTGGAACAGCTTGTTCAGTGCCGCGTCTCCCTCTAGATTCTCATTCTTCTCTTCCTCCTTAATATCGCCCACCAACTTGTCCCACTTGCGGGTGTAGTGGGAGGATGACGGGTACTGGTCTGAAAAAAGAAAGGGAAGAACAGAGGGAGAGGGGAAATCAGGGAGAAGCCTCAGACAGACAGGTTGGCTTAATGACACATGGGAAATTGCCAGCCCGACTTTGTTTGCGAAGAGCAAATATGTGCTTTTGATACTGACTCGGAGAGGGAGCGAAGTGCTTCATGTTGGAAAGGGTGCCTTCTCCTTCCAGCTTCTCCCACCGGATGGCTTCCGTCTTCTTCATCTTAATCTCGACCTGAAGGAGGTGGGCGGGTGGTTGGGGGGGAAGGGAGGTTGGGTAGAGAGGGAGACAATGAGCTATTCTGACAGGGGCACATGCCACAGAAGCAGCAGGGCACACAGGAGCTGTGGAACACCACCCCCGTTCCCCTTCTATAGCTCAACTGAGCTTGCAAAGGAGGGAAGCGCAACACTGAGCAGAAAACTGCAGGGAGAGGGTTCAGATGTCGACACAATTTAAAGATATTTCTGCACAGCTTCCTGATAGGGAATGTTTCTTTCATGAAGGTTAGCACGAGCTGTGATACTGACATTTGGGAATCCGTCCTGGGGAGCGGGGTTGTGCAGGGGTCAATGCAGGAAATAAGGGCAGTTGTACGGTTGCACAAAATGGTTATGGTGAGGGAGAAAAAGAAATAATAAAAGATATCTCTCTTAAATCTCTCGGCGCAGGCCCTGACACGCGCTCATTTCATTCCGAGCAATTTAGCAGTCAATACCGCTTGATCAAGACAGGCACTTACAGCAGTCTGACAGAATGGCATTATCATCAAGCGCTTGTCCTTTAAGATGGAGAATGAAAATATAAATGGGACCAAATTGAAGTCAGTGTTACTGACGCAGCTAAAGCATCAAAGGGCCTTAAATATTGATTTAAAAGGAGGCAATCGTGCTGTAAATTAAAACCCTCGGCATAGTGAGACAGTCCGTGAGAATGTGCGAAAGCATGGAGCAAGAAATTGAGGCAGACACGCAAGTGTGATGGAGGGAATGGAAGAAGGGAGCAAAAGAGTAGAACAGCTAGCGAACATTTTTACGCCTCTCCTGCTTTTCACAGTTTCAAGCCGAGCGGTTACATGAGGCAGATGATAACTTGTGGGGCCTGGCTGTCCCCCCCCACCCACTCCCTCTTCTCTCTTTCTCTGGGCTATACAACATTAATCTCCCCCTACATCTGCTGAGACTGGGTGTAAGGGGAGGTGACAGGCACGGCACGACTGCTGAGATTTCTGACGGGCATCCACGAAGCTTCCTGACAGTGCCATTAAGACCCTGAGGGGTGGCAGAAAAACCCCACCATGCCACCTAAAAAACTCCCTGCCTGTCACCGTCACAGCCATTAAGTGAGCGGGTGGCCATCCCTGGCATGTCACGTATCCTCGTCTGAGCTTCTTAAACTCACAACAACCCCCAAAATACCAAAAAGCAATTGAGGGAGGGGTGGAAGGGAGAGAGAGGGAGAGGGAGAGAAAGAGAGAGCACATGCCGACGACTGGAATGGTGCACTGGCTTGGATTATGAGGCGTCTCGTTAAAAGAAATAAATAAACCAGTAGACGGTGACAGGCGTGGAAATTAAAAAGGGATGCTGTTGCTTATTTGTTTGCGAGGGGAAAATGACTCGCCGGGGTTGCAGTGTGCAAAGCAGCATTTCAGATCATGTCCCCTTTCTATCCTATCCCCATCCATCCTATCCAATAAGGCAGCTGGTAATTGGTTCCTTGTCATCCTGCCATCCCGACGGGCATGGCAAGCAAGGTCAGCCACCTCTCTCTGCAAAAGTGGAGAGAAGAGAATCTGTGGGCTTTTTTCTGGGTCACAGAGGGCAAGTTTATTGAGTTTACTACAAAGATAATAGCGCCGAGTTAAAGGCTTCATGCAAAAAGGACAAGGCTTGATTTGAGAGGGCTTGATTTGTTTATCCCAATCTCGACGAATGCCTGCGAGAAAGCTCCCAAAACGCACTTGTATATAAACACACTCGTATGAGAAATTGCACCCAAGAACCCAAGGATAAAAAAAAAAAGGATGTTGGCATTAACAAGATTAAGTGCAAAATTCCAAGTTTTGACATTCTAATTCACCTCCTACCGGAGAGCAGCCTTAGGCTCTCTGCTTTTCAGAGAGTAAAAATCCTATTATTTGCCAACTCAGACTTCCATGTTGACATTTCATTTGAGGCCATGTTGGAGCGAGAGTGAAAACCCAACCTGAGGTGCTTTGGTTTAAAAAAAAAAAGAAAAAACAGCTTTTGCTTTAAGAGGCTGGTGCTTCCATCCATCTCTAAATTCCTGAGTGCCAGCAAGCCATTGAGTTAGATCAAGGACTAATTACACAGTGCATACACACGACAACACATCATTCACTGTTCACTGCCCCCAAAACCTGGATCAGCACCAAAGTCTGGCACTCTGAAGCCCTTCGATGAAGTCAGATTGCTCTCTGTATTCAAAGTCTTTGGGACGTTCAAGTACCTGGGCGCCCATCCTAAAAGATAAAAGTAGCTTTAATGAGAATATTTTGGTTGTAGATAATGAATTAACATCTCTGAGTTTTTTTCCTACAACATTTTTGTCAAACTACAGAGGATTCAGAGGATTTACTCAAAATTAGGATTTGCTGAATCATGTTAATTTATGTACACATGGCTAGGGATGGGTAATATGACGCTATCGTGATGTAATTTAAGTATCTCATGGATATCGTTAAGTGCTTCAAAAACATAGAACAACTGCATACATCAAAAAAGTAGACCAATTATAGAGAATCTACAAATTGTTTGTCCTCCTGTTCTTTCTTAGTCAACTTTGAAGCGTAATGAATTGTGCTTGCCTTGAAAACATCTGGGATTTGCTTGCTAATTCAAACTACTGGTAAATGTTAATAATAATAAATACAATAATAATAATAATAATATTGATTTATAATACTAACCAATAATAACATTGTTTCTCTTCTGAAATGCAAATCATTGTATTTATAGTTTTTCCATTGCATCTTTTTTTAAATGTGGCAATACTTTTTTGCTGGTATAACTGTCAATTTAAATTTCTTTGCAACCTTAAAAAAAGAAATGCACTAAATATTGCAATACAAGTACTGTAATGTTACGTTTTTGCCATATTGCCCACCCTTACACTGCCCACAAAATCCAGTGATCACTGAATACCGATGCCTAGGTCTGACATCAGGGGGGTCTGAAGGCTGCCTTTTTGGACCTGCAAGTTCTGGTGTATCAGAATCCACACAAGTATGAACAACTAGGCCTGGGTGATTTTCAAAAATAATTAGCACAATATCTTCTAGTTTAAATAAAAAAAAAAAAAAATTGATTATCTATTAATGTATCGCCAGTTTTTCTGAGACTATAAATCTCCCTCTGGGAAAGCCACAGCAGAGATAGTGGGGAATTTACTCTACCGTTGCCTAAGGGTGTTGCCTAAAGGCCCCATAATAACCCAATGTTTTAACAGTAAAAGTGAACAAAACAGATGTGCATGTTATTTAACATTATTGACATTTACTTAACATATTTAGCAAGCTGTTTAGTGGTACACTGGTCGTTTGTAGTTCTCTGGAACTTTCTCAACATGTCATTACGTGGCCCTATTGCCCAGGCTTACAAACAACTACACAAAACCACTAGGTAGTGTTCAGAAAACCCAAGGTCACAAGTGTTCAACATGATGTGCTATACTGTGAAAGAGCTACACAGGCCATACGGGTCAAATATAGAAAAGTGGGATTTTATTTATTTATTTATTTTTAAAAAGTGAAGTCTCTATTCAGCTAGACTCTCCAATGCCTTCTCTTTTAATACTAGTACTTTTATTAAATCAGCTTGGTGCTTTATTCCACTGGGGTTGAGTGGAAAAACAACACTTATTACAAGTTATTCATATTCATAAGGCACTACCATGGAGTGTAGTTTTAAGTACATGGAAAAAATAAATGTAATGTGTTATAATTTTTTAACAATTGATTTTTAAACAATTGTGCTATACATAGGTTCATAGGTCAAAAAACCTCAAGTGGTGGCTATTTGTCTTTTGGCGTGTAACAGCCAGAAAATAATTTACAAACAATTATAAACAACTGTCTTCAATACTTCTACAGTTTCAGAGGCCAGATGCTGTTTTGTGATCGTGTTTTAGAGTAAGAGTAGAGAGAGAGTCATTCTGCATCTGGATTGTAATGCATTTTTGCACATTATTTTTTTTTTTTTAACAATCAAATCATTATAGCACCAAAATGGTTGTAAAAGGCATTACTGGGACCAAGATTAATTTGATATCATGACAACAGTAGATTCAAAAATCTCAATTTACCATAAATATTTTCCATATTATACAGGAAGAGGGACACGAGAAGGTGTTGGGGGTGCTGAAATTTTAAGCAGCATATACGTAGCGTGAATGAAGACATCATGCAAAAAGATTTGTTTTTATAATTTACATCAAACAGAACGTGTAAACATAATGAGAAATGACAGTATACACATATGACAACTGACACATAAGACCGCTGACGCACATCGTCTCTGTGCTTTCGCATACTGGACGAACTTTAAGCAAATGAACTGAGCAGGGACCGTGTGCTGCGGTAATCAATTGTGTCACGTCCACAGTATCATGGTGAGATTTAAAACTGGAACGCACATCGAGTGAGAGTATAATAGTTGATAAAATCATTCCATTAGATTATTATATTTTGAAAGTTTAAAAAACAAATGTCAGTAGGCTACTATGGGGCTCAGAACTGGTTTATAACTTTGCATATACTTTCCCTCTTTGCACCTCAACCTACAAGTGTTAGTGATGCATCCTTAAAGCAGCCAGCAGCTGGTGTGGGAAGGGATTCAGCTCACTGCAATGACAATACAGTGTTACTAGAGGTTTTGAAAATATATAAATAGAATATAAAAATAAAAACTAACAATCTAAAAATAAGCACATATGGGTTGTAACTATGCTGAAATTATTATAAAATTCAGATTTTTTTTACTACTGTTATTATTATTTTTATTACTATTATGTTATTATGAGTAGTAGTAGTAGTATTTGCAGTCCTGAAATGTCTTTCTGTATCTCTGTATGTACAGTGCTGTGCAAACGGCAGCTCTTTTCTATTTCTCAGCAGGAAGTGTGTTTTAGCTTGTAAAAACACTAACATTAGAATCAATACAAATAAACATTAACACAGCAAAACGTAAATTGAAATTCTTAAAAACAGAATA